ACTTCAATAATAACAGAACCTACATTTTTTTAAAAAAACACATGTGCCGGAAAAATATTTAAACGTTGCATGACATTTTTGTCCAATATTTAAAATATTCCTGATATTTTTCAATATCAATAAGTCAAATTGTTAAATATGTTGTTTAACCTAATAATTAATGAAATATGTTAGTCTCTAAAAAATACAAAGTTGGTCTAGCTTAATCTGAGGTTAATATAAGGGCACAATACAATGCTAGTTAGATTGAGATATCAAATTTTTGGTCCTGATAAAAGAAGGCTTATAATATTAGCTTAATATGATTTTATTAGAAAAAACGAAATAAGAAGTTTTTCCACTAAACATAGTTAAAGTGTAACCAACTGTAATGTTTTTATGTGTAGGAGGGTGGTGTACATATTATTAGTAATGATATATAAAATATGCGTTAGGATATGACATTTTTTTTCCAAAATAATTTTGTTTTTTATATTGACTTTTTAAGATCATTTACAATTTAAAAATTTAGAATTAAATGAGTCAAAAAAATATTCAATTGGATAAAATAAACATTATTTAACAACCGTTATTCAATCTATATAGAAACAATGTTTAAAAAATTACATGTGCCGGATAAAATATTCATTTGAATATCTTATACATTATTTAACAAACGTTATTCAAACCATATAGAAACGGTGTTATTAAAGTATGACGCAAATGGCAATGTTTTTTCGAAAACCCAACCTACATTATTTAAAAAAAAACACATGTGCCGGATAAAATATTCAAACGTTGCATGACATTTTTGTCCAATATTGCAAATATTCCTGATATTTTTCGATAACAATAAGTCTAATTGTTCAATATATTTTTTAACCTAATAAATAAGAAGATAAGTTAGTCTCTAAAAATTACAAAATTGATACATCTAAAACTGTGGTTAATATAAGGTCACAATACATTACTAATTATACTGAGTTATTCAAAATTTGGTCCCGATAAAAGAAAGCTTATTAGAGGGGCTTTATATGATTCTATTTGAATGAATTTTATAAAAAGTTGTTCCTGTAAACATTTAGTAGGGCAACTTTAATTTAGTTGTTCTACCTGGATATTTGTATGTCTCTATAGTAAACATACAGGGTCCGGCAGTAAAACGGGATGATTTCAATACTTAATTACTATTTAATGAATGAATAAATTTTAATTTTAATAAATATAAAGTATAAAAGTTACAATTTTATGTTCAATACAAAAAAATACTATTTTTTATGTACTACGTTTGCCAAATGACCTCCATTTTTATTTATGCATTCTTGTAGGCGGAACATAAAGTTCTCATGACCTTTCGCAGCATATTAATGGAAATTGATTCAATATCGTCCCGAATGCGTTGTTTGAGTGTTTGGATAGTTCTTGGTGGATTGGCCTCAAACACTTTTGATTTAAGGTATCCCCATAAAAAAAATCGCAAGCCGTTATTATGCTGCGAGAGGTCATGCAAAACTTTAAGTTCCACCTACAAGAATGAATAAATAACAATGGAGGTCATTTGGCAAACGTAGTACATAAAAAACAGTATTTTTTTGTATTGAACATAAAATTGTAACTTTTATACTTTATATTAATATTTATTAAAATTAAAATTTATTCATTCATTAAATAGTAATTAAGTATTGAAATCATCCCGTTTCACTGCCGGACCCTGTAGGTAAAGTGGGCCAATACATATTAATAGTAAAGATATATCAAATATGCGTTAGAATATGACACTTTTTTTCTAAAATAATACTGATTTTTAGATTGATTAATTAAAATCATTCCCAATTTTTAAATATGGAATCTTATGAGTCAAAAAAATATTCACTTGAATACAATATACAATTTTTAAAAAACGTTATTTAAACTATATAGAAATAGTGTTATTGAAGTAAAACGCAAATGGCAATGTTATTTCGAAAATAACAGAACATACATATTTTTAAAAAAATACACGTGCCGCATAAAATATTCAAACGTTGCATGAAATTTTCGCCCAATATTTGAATATGTTATACATTATTTAACAAACGTTATTCAAGCTATATAGAAATAGTCCTATGAAGTATATCGCAAATGGCAATGTTTTTTCGAAAAAAACACAACCCTACATTATTTAAAAAAAAACACATTTGCCGGATAAAATATTCAAACGTTGCATGAAATTTTTGTCTAATATTTAAAATATTCCTTATAGTTTTCGATAACAATAAGTCTAATTGTTCAATATATTTTTTAACCTAATAAATAAGGAGATAAGTTAGTCTCTAAAAAATACAAAGTTGATCCAAATAAAACTGTGGTTAATTAAAAGGCACAATACAATGTTAGTTTGACTGAGTTATTATAAATTTGGTCCCGATAAAAGAAGGCTTATTATAGGAGCTTAATACGGTTCTATTTGAAAAAAACCAAATAAGAAGTTGTTCCACTAAACATAGTTAAAGTGGACCAACTGTAAATTTTTTATTTGTAGGAGGGTGGTATAAATTTTAATAGTAGATATATAAAATATGCTTTAGGATTTGCCATTTTTTTTCCAAAATAATTCTGATTTTTTGATTGATTTTTTAAGATCATTTACAATTTTTTAATTTAGAATTAAATGAGTCAAAAAAATATTCAATTGGATAAACCGTTATTCCAGCTATATAGAAACGGTGTTATTAAGTATGACGCAAATAGCAATGATATTTCGAAAATAACAGAACCTACATTATTTAAAAAAAACACATGTGCCGGAAAAAATATTCGAACGTTGCATGACATTTTTGTATAATATTTAAAATATTCCTGATACTTTTCAATAACAATAAGTCAAATTGTCATCAAATTATCTTACGTGATAAATATGATCACGCGTAATCATATTATGTGAGAAAATTAGATCCTATTGTATAAAAACATTCGTTATTATTTCGATGGTTTCCTATATGTTTTACCTACTAGTAGCTGGAAGACGACCAAATTGGTCACAAGTATTAACTGACAGGCGACCGGGAAGGTCACTAGCTATCTGTATTGGTTGACCTAATTTCCTAATATGTTCATAAATAACCGTCTATGTCAGTAACCGATAATGACGTACCTACTGTACATTTAGAATTTAATTATCAGAGGTAGACCCGGCATGGTGCATTAAAGGTGTTTACTTAAGAAGTTTAAAAGTGTTTAAGAACTGAAAAGTAAGGCACGAATGATATGTCTAGAGGTCAATCAGTAACTATTAAATCTTAAAAGGAAATGAAGTGAAGGTTGATAAGACATTCTTTTGATTATTGTTTTTTTGGCAGTGCCTATAAAAACGACCAAAAAGCTGTTTAATAAAATGTCTCGATGCAAGTCTTTTAAGTTTTTAGATCTTGACAATTATTGTATAATAATAATATTCAGTTTATCAAATACCCATATTATAAACGAATAAACGTATTACTTACTTCTATCAAACGTATTACTATCAATAGCATATAATATGCATTCATTCATATTTATTTTCATATTGTTTTAAGTTAACCACAAAGGTAGAATTCATGTATTGATATTTTTTGTTAGATGGGTAACCAACATTTTATCCTACTAAATGAAAATATTAAAATATTTTAAACAATGCTAAGTTTGAAATAAGTGAAATAATGTATCAATTTAATAAAATCTATAGTTGTAACTTGTATACCATGTATACTAATAATAATTATAGACAACAAAAAAAGTTAAAAAAATTAATGTTTTAATTTTTTAAAAAACCAATAGTTTTTAAAATTCCATTGATTTACAATTATAGGCATTTTAAATATAATGTTCTAACAATCTCAATAATATTATAAATATATATATATAGGGGATGCTGTAAAAATAAAACTTTTAAAATAAGTCAATCAAATAGATTTTTTGTAAAACCAAAAAACATAACCATATACACACCTAACTTTATTTTAAGTAGAGTTGTGTTCTTGTATAATGTTTAAACAATGTCATACTATTTATTTATTGTTAGATTAGACAGGTAGTAATTATTAAAATATATTTCATTAATAACAAAAATCAAATTTAATATCTTCGGCTATCTATCGACACACATCGTCTACCTACATGAAATAAATGCAATCATTGATAGCGTCATGCTTATATAAATAGCTATTGTGAAATTTTTATTTTTGCAAACGTTGTAACAATCCAATGCATCATTTTATGTCTGTTATATATTTGGATAACTATATAGACAGACATCATTCCATCAGCCTACAGAACAGAGAGACGCAGACTGTGAATAAATTTTAAACTTGTACATTTTTTTAAAAAAAATTGTATGTTGTTTTTCTTGACTTGTAATAATATTTGGAAAACATGGCCACATTTGATGTGTATTACTTCAATTTATCCCTTCTTCAAAAACCAACGCTCGGCACGTAAAACACTGGTAAAAAAAATAGGGTAAGATATAGGAGATAAGAGAAATGTTGTACGTTGAACGTTCAAATTAGAACTAAATGAAAAGTTCAAAATAGTTTAAGAGTCCAAATTCTCTAAGAATTGTTTTAAGCCAGATATTAAATTCTTAATTTTTCTGCATTGAGTATTAGTCCTAATTCCTAAGTATCCTTTATATTTTTTAAATTATTGTTTTGTAATAATTAGTCTATTACCTTACTTTTTTAATTTTTAAGAAGATACTGTTTTTTTGAAATCAATTTACTAAGAAATATGCAGACTTTCCATTGAACATGCTGTTTGTTTCTTAAGATCCTACTAACACACAACGTACGAACATACTACGTACTGTGTTTTCACACCAAAACAACCTTCAAAGGATAACATGCCACATTCAAAGCGCCTAGAAGAAACATATACACATTGTACTTAAACAAAGCTACAACAATAAAATCTGGTGAAAATATAGTAACTAAGTTTGAAAACATGTGTTAAAGCAAAACAAGATATTTTAAATTTGCCAGATAGTAGAAATTTATTATGAATTTGTGAAATATATGGTTTGGTTTACTAATAGTTTACACAATTTAATTTTGTTTATTTATTTTAAAGCTGTATTTTTAACTGAATATATCTCTGTAATTTGGATTGTTGTCATTCAATCCTTTCTGTCAAAAAAAAAAAAATATTATTTCATAGCTCAAATAGAATTACCTTGTTTAATGTTACCTCTGTTTAATGTTACCTCTGTGGTACTCATGACACCCGTATCAATCTAAGAAATAATATTTTAATAAATTAGAACTATATATATATATATAGCTCACATATATGTGAGCTATATGTGTTATCAATTAGGTTAGCTTACATTAAAATTAGGGGCCTCAAGGGTGATTGAACCTTTCTTTTCCTTAGAAGTTTCTAAACACGATACAAAACGCTTTTTTATTAAATGAATATTATATATGAAAATTAATAACAAAATATAATATTTTAATATATAAGGACAATAATAATATTATAATCAAAACGGTAATATTGAGGACGAGTTTTATTACGGCGGACAGCGAGGTAAAGTTTCCACGACGTAGTCAAGTAATTCCCTTGGAAGAAAATAATAATTTTCGTAACATGAAAAAGGGACATTTGTAACTTCGACTAACTAAACTGAAACGTAAAATAGAGATGCTCAGAAACGCAATCGTCTTTACAGTGCGAACGGAAACTGCATTTTCGAATTTCAATCACGACCAAAATATAGTAAACCATATCAAATACTAAACGATGCTATTTTATGTTTTAAGACTTTATAAGGGAATCACCAAATTAATAATGTTTAAAAATAAGTAACTATTACCTTTTGGTGGTTCTGAACTACTTGCCTCCTCCGAGGTTCCGCCACCTACACAACCTTTTAAAAAATAAAATATTAGATATTTCAAAAAAATAACGAAGATAATGAATCAAAACTTATTAGTGTACATTTTTAAATGAGCACACAATTATTTAATCTAATCGAAGTTGCATAACTATTTTAACCTTTATTCCTCGGTACATAACTTGTTCATGATAACACCACACTTAACCAGTTTAATGTAAAGGTCTGTCACTTTTTCAAATCAGGGTTCCGTTAAAAGATGTTAATTATTTGTCAAGTTCGAAATATTGCACAATGTACATGACCATAAAATATGTGTTTTATTATATTATAATTTGTATTGAAGTGTATACAGCATGTTTAAATCGTTTCATAGATATTCGATTATGGAACTATTAATAATCAAAATATTTCAAAATAAATGAACAAGATATATATGACGTCCATGATAAATTAGCTTTATCGTGAATATTGTTGGTACCATATTTCAATTTTGCAAACAAAATTCAATAAAACAAAGTAATAAGCGATGAAAAAAAACATACCACTTAAACATGAAGACACCCAGCCTAAAAACGAAAAAACAATTTAATATTGTTTTGAGAACTTTTGGCAGTAAAATATTTTTAATAGTGAATATTTAAGAAAATAATTATTTTCTTACATTTTTACATGTAAGAAAATAATAGCTTTAAATATAACATTTTTTACACGATTTTAAAGCTGTGTTAAAAAACAATTTTAATAATACTAATAATAAAAATACAAAAAGGTTTTTGATTTATAAATGTAGATATTTTTATTTACATTACAATAAATAAGTCACAATGATATTACTATACACATTGTTGTTTTACTAATAACTAATACAAAAGGAAATGTACAATATTGTAATACTTATTGTCTTCACAATATTTTAATATTTATTGAATATATACTAATGAAAGGTTTTTATCAACAATAAAGTTTTAGGACAAGCGTGTCTAGCCGAGTACATGCACCTAACCTAACTATTCAGTAAATGTGCTCGTGTGAATCACTGTTAACAGACTCTGATTATAACTGCGCTCTGTCGTATATGATCAGCGTAACGCAATTCATCAGATAAAAAAAAATCCTTCAAATACAGTTGTGCAGAGGTTAAACTAATACTGCGTACGTTAGTACCGGGTTTACGAATTTACTTTCTTTGGTTATTTATTAAGTTTTACTAGATGGTTATTGCATCCAATCGTTGTTCGAATTGTCGATGGAGTTCAGATATAAGAAAAAGAAATTAGAAGAAATTATCTTAGCACTGAACAATCCTTCGGTGTTTTGACGCTCTAGGCAATCCCTGTATTCGGCCGTGTCGGTCTCGTAAATACAATTTGCCAGTAGATGTCTCTGACTACTAAAAAACTTAATCATTTGGTCCGAGACCAGGGCTATTTCTGTAAATGTGCTCCTGTATCCCTGACGCGCTAATGTTGAATGTGTTACGCGATTTTACTGTATTCTAGTATTTTTAAGAAAACTTTTACTATTCTACCCATTTCAAATAACTTTTAACTATTAATCCATATTTACAGCCGATTAATAAAGAAAGTTTAATATTTATAATACTTGACAGCGTTGCTACGCGAGCGCCATCTCTGTGCATTACGGCAGGTGTTCCTGCGCATCATGTCTCGGCTAGACCACGCCACTGTCTGATTTACTACAACTGTTAAGAGGGATACTATTCTAATTCCAGTAGATGAATATTAACACATCTCATGTATTACTGGTGGTTTGAACTTATAGTGTTAGAGAGAGGGTTTGACGAAAATCAATGAAGGACAATGCTAAGAAAAATAACTAACTTAATGGTATACAAAAATAATAATTAAATTTTAAAAATATAATAAAGAAAGTGCACATTGGTAACTCTACAATATATATACTTGTAGAACGTTTTATCGGCGGATTGTTGGCTATAATTCAACAAATAATACACATCAAATTAATGTTTGCTAACTTTAAATTGGCATAATAGTATTTAGAAAAATAAATATTAAACGAGTTTAAATAGAAATCATGTTTTTTACGATTTTTTAGTACTTTGGTGCAGCTTCTACATAAAATTAATTTAACCCCTATTGAATTTTGTAGACTTATCTGGTCTAGTAACATTTTTATCTTAAATTTCCAAATTTTAAATTTTGTGTTAGAAAATATATGTTTTACCAATAGATATTGGTAGAGAAATAAGTGGAAATCCAAATTAATTATATGGACCAAAATGCCAAATATGAACGATCATTCGGAAGCAACACCCGCAGAATAATTTAAAACTTACCCAGCATGTCTACTACGATAAAATTTAGTCGTATAAAGTATTTTTAGTTTTTTATTTACTTCTGTTTATCATCATTTTGTATTGTATCTATTGTCATAAAACAAATGATTGAAAAACTCCCAGCGTTATATTTTACTTACTCACTTGAATGTTTCGATAAACAAAATGTCATTAATTGAGTTTATAATCTAAAAAACCGCAAATTTATCTTAATTTTACACATAAATATTTCAACTTTTTTTATAACTGTGATATTTTTTCCCCGTTTTTCCAATTTTCTATGTATTTCCATCTCTTTTTTTTAAGCGTTTTATAAAGTTATTAGTTTAAAACTCACACATTTCACGTAAAGTTTTATTAGCTTTCTACATAGAAAAATTCTCAAAAATTGGCAACACGCTTTTTAGATTATAAACTCAATTTAATTACTTTCTGTTACTCGAAAAAAGATCAATTATTTTACTTTAAGAAATTAATTTTTTGTATTATGTCCAAAGATACTATAAAAAGACGATTAAAAACAGTTTAAAGGAAAAAACTAAAAATTAGATCATCAATTTACATGAAAGAAAAAAAATGTTTTTTATAAATTGATTTACTAACGAAAAACATTCTTGTCGTTGAAACAGACACGCAGAATGAGTTTCTAAAAGTTCTACAAAGAACGCTCTAAAAGGTTGTTCGTATTTGTCGTTTTGGCGCTTGTATCAATAAAAAAAAAACGTAAAATTACCTTCCGACTCTCTGTCACCTAACCAACAAATAAACATAAATCATTATTTTTATCAATTATTTTGTATAATTTTGGTACCGTGTAAATACACCAAAAACCAACGTATAAGGAATGTAATCTGTTATCTACTTTTAGGTGAATATTAAATATTACTACACAGTTGTATTATACAATAGATTAGTAAAAATTTACAAGTAAAGTAGAAAACGTGTATAAAATTGTATGTAAAATGTATAGCTGTACATAATTTAAAAACATACCTGGAAATGGGCGACCTTGAGTGACTAAATATAAAAAACGCAATTAGGTTTCAATAAAAATTCATACTCGCTTACATAATTTTTAAATGAAAATAATATCTCCTAAACTGACTTATGCAACTAACTTAAAATACAATTTGTCATTTCATTAGAATCCATAAAATTATGATGATTAAAGTATTGAACCTGTGAATGTATTGTAAAAAAAATACAAATAAGACATACCCAATGATACTTTCATAATAATAAAAACTATAATACAAATAGTTAATTTCTGCATAATGTACTAAAGAACACTTCTAAGATAGACAATGAAAACTACGATACACAATCTTAAAATGTACAGTGAAAAATTTAAATGAACATAATATACATTATTTAGCAAGTTTTTCTCAGACTATATAGTAACAGTTTTATTATAGTATGACGCAAAAGGCAGTGTTATTTGCAAAAAAAACAAAACGATACATTTTTCTAAAAAACCTGTGAGATTGAGCAAACATTATAATAGTGAAAAACAATTTCAATTAACATTAAAAAAAAATTGCCCAATATATAAAATATTTCAATAATATAATATATATATATATATATATTGTATGTTATTGAGTATAATATACATTATTTAACAAACGTTATTTAAACTATATAAAAACTGTGTTGACTCAAATGGTAATGTTATTTCGAAAATAACAAAACGTACATTTTGTCCAATATTACAAATATTTCTGATATTTTTCGATAAGAATAAGTGAAATTGATAATTATTTTATAAAACCTATTAGTTAGAGAAATAAGTTAGTCTCTGAAAAATACAAAGTTGGTCCAACTAAAACTGTGGTTAATATAAGGTCACAATACATTACTAGTTATACTGAGTTAACATTTTGGTCCCGATAAAAGAAGGTCTATTAGAGGGGCTTAATATGATTCTATTTGAATGAATTAAATTAAAAAGTTTTTCCAGTAAACATTTAGTAGGGTCAACTTCAATTTAGTTGTTCCATCTGGATATTGTAAAGTTTTTATGTGTAGGAGGGTGGTATACATATTAATGGCAAAGATATATCAAATATGCGTTAAGATATGATATTTTATTCTATAATAATCTAATTTTTAAATTGATTTTTTAATATCATTCCCAATTTTTAAGTATGGAATCTTATGTGTTAAAAAAATATTCAATTGAATACAATATACATTATTTACAAACGTTATTCAAACTATATAGAAACGGTGTTACTAAAGTATGACGCAAATGGCAATGTTTTTTCGAAAATAACACAACCTACATTATTTAAAAAAAAAACACATGCGCCGGATAAAATATTCAAACGTTGCATGAAATTTTTGTCCAATATTTCAAATATTCCTGATATTTTTCGATAACAATAAGTCAAATTGTAAAATATAAATTTTTAATAAGCTAGCCCAAACTACCCGGGGTTCAGATGCGAACACGATTAGGATATCTGCACTCGCCTTCACCTACTCGGTAGCCGAGTACTGTACACCAGGATGGCTAAACAGCTCACATACAAGTAAAATAGGCACCCAATTAAACGCAACGATGAGGACAATCACAGGAGCAATTAAGTCAACACCAGCCTCTTGGCTACCGGTATTGGGCAATATAGCGCCACCTCACCTCCGTAGAAACAATTCCCTAGTTCGAGAATATAACAACCATGCCTTAAATCGAAGTCTACCCATACACAAG